CAAGTCCTAAAATCCCTCTGAACTGTGCTAAAAAGAAGCAAGTGTTAGCTGGGCCTTGATGGCTCTATTAGAATACTTCCAGCAGTTTTCTTCCAAGGATCTCTGTATCTACCAATGGCAAATATTAAACCTCCTTTTCCCTCCCCTCTGGGAGCAAGGGTGGCGTAAACTGGAACAGGAGAAACTTGTTTAACTTACCTGTGTGACCATAGCCAAGTGACCGCCCTTGCTCTGGACCTTGAGGTTCTTCGTTCAATTCAACAAACATACACTAATTACCTACTATGTGCAAGTCACTGGTGTAGACAGCTGAGATACAAAGAATTGGCCCTGCCTTCAGGGAGCTTACTTACTGTCTAATGGAGAAGAAGAATAAACCAATGGACATATATAAAATACTTTAAAGCTTACAAAGCACTTCACGTAGATGCTCTTACTTATTTGATACTCACAAGAGCTCTGTGAGACAGGCAATACAGGGATTATTCTCCCCATTTCACAGATGCAAAAAATGGAGGTTCAGAGCACCTATGGGCAGAGACAGGTTCAAATGAAAGCCTCTCTTGACTCAACTCTAGGTTGACCAATACTCACTGTCTTCCCAGAATGACTTTGTTAAAAAGGATGAAATAGGACTCGGTGATCTCTACAGCTCCTTCCAACTCTGAATCCAATCATCTAGTATCTCGCTGGAGTTGACTGGCCCTAATAGATAGACCCCTTCAGTTACTATACTGCTACTGAGTCTCTATGATTTCTTTCTGGGAATTGATAACTCCCTCTTCTATTCCCCACTCCCCTCCAAATTTCAAAAGGTCAGGACAGCACCATTCACAGGTGAACACTGCTTTAATGGATAAAGTGGAGCATCGGTAATGAATTGATGATACTTTTAGGAGAGAGTCTTCATTTCACGTAAGAAAGGCATCGAAAATGAAACATGTCAGAGTAGAAAGGGCAGTCAGAAGACCTGAGTTGGAGGCCTAGTTATGGCATTTATCATTCGCTGTTTGTCCTTCGTTCTTAAAGAGAACCATGACAACAGGAAGGTGATGTCATGACTTGCAAGTGAATTAGATTTAAATGAGGGAGGGCTGTGCAAAGTCACCAACCTCACTTTTACCTCCAGAGCCATCTAGGTCCAGTGGCAAGCTGTAGATCAGGACGACTGGAGGTGACATTTATTGAGCTAGCTGCATGACCTTGGGCAAGTCCCTTAAATTCTAGTGGGGGGCAGACGAAAGGAACAAGCACTATTAAACACTTTTTATGGATCCAGTCCTGTGCTATGTGCTTTACAAATATTTCATTTGCTCCTCTAGGAGGTAGATGCTGTTATTATCCTCATTTTACTTTTGAGGAAACTGAGGCAGAAAGCATTTAAGTGAAACTTGCCCAGCATCACACTGCTAGTGAGTATCTGAGGTCAAATTTGAACTCAAGTCCTGCTGACTCCAAGCCCAGAGCTCTATCAGTTACACTACCTATACAATTAAAGCATTCTATGAGATCATTTTCTAAGACCCCTTCCAGCTTAGATGTTCCGCGATCATTTCAGGGATGTAGAGACAGGAGACCTAGGTTTGAGTTCTTGATTCAACAGTTGTCAACTACATGGCCATGGGCAAGTCATGCCTCCTCTCTGAGCCTCCTCTGAGTTTCCTCATCTGTATAATTGAGATAGCAATACTTCCATTGTCTACTTTACAGGGTCATTGCCCGGAAAGCGCTGTTGTAAATTATAAAGTGTTAGCATAGTTGTTGTTGTTATTTGCATTATTAATTAAGATTATTAATAATAAGATAGAGATGTAAAACAGTGTCAGGTTCTACATATGCTGGCTAGACCCATAACTCACAGGGCATTCCTTTATGAGTGTACAGCATTGTTTTTCTTCTCTCTCCCTCCATTATTTCTCTCTCTCTTTCTCTCTCTCTCTGAGATAGGAATGACTAAGAGTAACATTGCTACCCATTTTCTCTTTCCCTTACAATTCTTTTTGTTGTCATTGTTGTTATTATTCAGTTGTTTTTTCAGTCATGTCTAACTCTTCATGACCCCATTTAGGGTTTTCTTGGCAAACATACTGAATTGTTTGACATTTCCTTCTCTGGCTCATTTTACAGATGTGGAAACTGAGGCAAACAGAGTTAGTGTTTAGCCCAGGTACACAGCTAGTGTCTGAGGCTGGATTTGAACTCAGGTCTTCCTAATTCCTGTCCTAGTGCTCTATCCACTGCACCGCCTAGCTGCCCCTTAGAATCCCTAGCTCCCTTCAAATTTCAACTCAAGTGGAACCTTCTACATGTAACCTTTCCTGATACTCCCATCCACAGTGCCTTATTTTTAGTTTGCACTTATGTACATACTGTTGTACTTATATACGTAGTGTTGTAGAGGGGTTCTCCCAATAGAATATAAGGTCTTCAAGGTCAGGGACTGTCTCCTTTCTGTTTTTGTATCCCTAATACCCACCGCAGTGTAAGGTTCGATTGATATGTAAGATGGAGAATGTTATAGCTATTATTATAGCTTATATTATATTAATAATAATATTTATAAGCGTATATAAGAATAATAGCTAATGTTTATATAGTGTTTATTATGTACCAACCTATGTGCGAAGTGCTTTAAAATTATCATCTACAAGGTAGGGGCTATTATTATTATTATTATATTATTATTATTATTATTATCACCATTTTACAGCTGATGAAACTGAAGCAAACAGGGGTTAAGTAACTGCCCATGGTCACACAGCTATTAAATGTCTGAGGCTGGATTTGAACTCCGATCTTCCTGACACCAGGTCTAGTTCTCTTTCCCCTGTACCACCTAGCTGCTGGTACTAGGCTTTGCACATTTGATTGAATATTTGATAATATGGACAAGTCATTCTCCCTCTTTCCCAAAACTCAAAACCTTTTTTACATGCATGCTTAAGCATTTAGAGAAAAAGTAGAATTTGTTACCTGAATTATTAAGTTAAGTTCACTAGTGTGTTGATTAATAGTGTGCTATTGTGATAATTGTGATAGGCACTGGAGATAACAAAGACAGAAAACAGACCCTGCCTTCAAGGAGCTTACATTCTACTTACATTGTTCAGTTAATCCTCTCCCTTTTCCACTTTACATTCCTATTATAGACACAGACATCAGGGGTACTGCCCTGCTGAGGGCTAGGTTCCCATCTTCCCTGTCTGATCTTTTCTTTTTTTCTTAATTCGTTGGCACTCTCAGTAGCAATTGTTGGAGCCTGAAAGGGAAATAAATGCTGGGGGATTAAACTCTGACATTTTTTTTTCTAAAAATAGCCCTAATAAATCCAATCATAGGTAATTTACCTGTTCTCTTTCCTCCAGGGGTAACCAGACCTTGAATAAAGGCCCTGCAGCCTGGCATTCCTTATGCAATTATCTGTGATCTAAGTTCTTGGTGTCTGGGTGGTTTCTCAGTTTAGAAATAATATGAGTACAAATTGCCCTCATTCCCTTCTGACCACATGACCCTGTTTTCATGCAATCTTTCCCCCTGGAAATTAGATTAGGTTGTGACATTCTAGAGAAGGAAAGTGGAATGACAAGAAAGAGAACCAACATAAATGAGGTGGGGCTGGTCTGGTCTACTTTTCTAAGTCTGGGCAGAAGGAATTTACCCCTGCATTCCTTTTTCTTTCCTTTCCTTTCCTTCCTTTTTTTTTCCCTGCCTCCTCCCCTTCCTTCCTTCCTCCCTCCTTTCCTTTTCCTTCCTTCCTTCCTTCCTTCCTTCCTTCCTTCCTTCCTTCTTCCTTCCTTCCTTCCTCCTCCCTCCTTCCTTTTCCTTCCTTCCTTCCTTCCTTCCTTCCTTCCTTCCTTCCTTCCTTCCTTCCTTCCTTCCTTCCTTCCTTCCTTCCTTCCTTCCTTCCTTCCTTCCTTCCTTCCTTCCTTCCTTCCTTCCTTCCTTCCTTCCTTTCCTCCTTCTTCTCCTTCTTCTCCCTCCCTCCTTTCTTACCTAGCAGCCACTCATAGGCCCATCCTCATTGAGGAAGAGCTTGGATACTTTGACCCGCTCAATTTCTGACCTGAGCCAGGTCACCCATCCTTATGTAACTCTGTGACCCCCCCAGATAGAGGGGTGAGGAGAGATGGAGAGGGCTACCATTGGCATAAATTTAATATAAACATCTAATAAGCTTAATCCACTGCAGCTCAGGACTCCCGAACTCAAGGTATCCTCCACCTCCTCTGTAGTAGGCATGCTCTCCCATATCCAGCTGCCCCTCTCCCACCACCCCCATTTTTTCCTCTTATTTACTTGAATCATAGGGCCTATAAGATAAAAATATTCTTGCCATTTGTCCTCTTTCATGCAGATAGTTCAAAACTACAAATGGAAGCAGCCATAGTAGAAGTCAGAGGACCCTGAGTTCAAATTCTGCCCATTACTTAATCACATGTGGAATCATGGGGAAGTTGCTTATCTCATTTTTTGAATTTTAATTTCTTCATTTATAAAAGGAAAGGGTTAGACTCAATGACTCCCAAGAACCCTTCTAGCTCTATTTATTTGTAATGCTATGATTCTATGAACTAGAGTTTGCTTTTTTTTTCCTCTGAAAGTTTTCTAGTGAAAGAGGAAAAAAGGCTGTTATCAGTGAAGGATCTGTGAATTGTATTGCTCTCCATGGCCGCCAAGTATTTGAAGAGAAAATTGCTATTTCTTTGAACCATAAAGAAATTCATTTTTCTTGTGCAAATCAACAGGGAATGAAAATGCTTTCACTTTTGTTCCCTTCAAATCCCCCCAGAAATTGCTGGGCTGGGCTGGCTAGCATGTAGGAAATTTACATTCCCAAGTGCCATTAACATTGGCATTTAAAAGACCTATATAAGAATCCTGTAAATTCCACTGGAGAGACCAAGTCTCATTCCTTAAATGCATTGAAAAGTATGGCTATTATCTACCCATGGAAAGAAAGTCTGCAGTTACTTAAATTGCCTTTGTCTTCTTCTTTTCAGCTGACATTATCTCTACGGTAGAATTCAACCACACGGGAGAATTACTAGCGACAGGGGACAAGGGGGGTCGGGTTGTAATATTTCAACGAGAGCAGGAGGTAAGTGGGAGTGAATGCAAAATGCCTGTTGTTTTTCTCCCCCTTTCCTTTTTAAAGGAAGCTTCCTGCTGTTCCTAAATACTGACGTGTCACTCTCAAACCTGGTTCTTTCCTAGGAAACTAAAAATTGCCCCCAAAGTCATTAGCATCAACAGTTCCATGTACCCTCTTATAAAAAGCACCTGAAAAAACTGCATTTTCTGAGTGCCACCTTATCTTCCCTGGGCTGTATTGCATGATATGAGAAAACTGCAAAATTCTAAAGGGGGCATGCTGGCCACCATTGGTTCATTCTGAACTGCTTTTGTCCTCTGAGCTGCTTTGGTTTCAGATGTTGGTGGCATACAAAAACATGGTGGTATTTGCCAACAGATGTAGGGAGGGCAGTTAGGGTCAAGAGAGAAGAAAGTAATTGCAAGCCAGTTCTGCTAAAAAGGGCATACCCGAGGAGGAAAGGAATTGCCCAAAGTGATATGTGGGAAAATATCATGCTAACAAGGCCTCTCTGTAGGCAGCATTATAGCTTCCAGAAGAAAGCCTGCATCTCTTTGCCATGCTGTTGCAGACAGAAGCTCTAATTCAAAAGGGTCACCTATCAGATAAATCAATAAAATAGCCTCTTGCTTCCTTCCCATGACTTGAATTGAACCTATTATGGCTTCGATTGCTCATAAGAAATGATTTGGTTGCCTTCTGCCTCTGCTCTCGTAACCTGGAACCATAGACCTTGATGCATGAGGTATCTTTTCCTTAGAATTGTACCATGCATGGGCCCCAGTTGGTCAGAATGAGTAGTTGATGGTGACGCTTCTAGAAAGCCAGTCTGCACCCTCTGTGGTTCTCCCATATGTCCTCGCTTTCCCCATTTGGTAATGTCAGAAATCTGCCAGCCACTTTGGATTCTAGAGAGGAGGATAATGTAGGTAGAGAATATTGTGCATAAGGCCTCCTTACCAATGTAAAAGCTGCTCTCAGCTGAAAAGCCATTAAGTTTGCAACTACTGTCGAAAAAGGAAAACCTCATTTAGAGGTGATATATTTGGTAACTGTGCATTATTTGCAATTAATTTTTATAAGACCTTCACAAACCCTAGGGGATTTTATATAAATTCAAGTGTTCAGAATTAAATCAGGCACCCAGCATATTCCATTGGCCCAAGAAGCACTCAAATGTGGTTGGCAAGTGAAAATTAATAGCCCTTTGTGACCTGGAATTTTCCTACGTTTCCAAAGCTGTCTGGTGCTAATTGGTCTGGCACATACGACACACACTTGACAGTCTGATTTGGATGGCAGCAAATCAGCAATCTTAGAAATTTATTTTTAAGGTAGACTGGCTCTCCTTGTGGCAGTCAGGGTATCACTGGAGGGAGGGTAGTGGCCAGAACCTCCATATTTTGGACATCCACAAACCTGTTTTTAAATCTTCATTTGCAAAATAAAAAAAAATATAGGTTCACAATGATACTAAAGGGTATAGGTGCTGCTTAGCATAAATTACCCAAGCCACACAGGGCCAGTAGTAACACTTTATTTCACATTTTCTCTTAACTATTTTTGCCTATTTTAACTTATTTAAGTTTGGGGAGTCAGGCTCATTAGAAAAGTGAAAGGGAAGGTTTTTTTTTTAAGGCATAGTATTTTTGTTCCACAAAATTTCAATGTAGATAAATAACATGCAATTAAATAGTTTAGTTTTGTAAAGAACCTTAAAGATAAAAAGAGCTATATAAGCATCAAGCAGGAGAAACATTTCCATGTGATAATTATCTAGGGTCAGGTTCTCATCCTAATTCGATGGCTGAATCTCAGGAGAAATTCATTCTCCCACAGAATCAGCTTAGATGGAACCTTTCCTCCTTCCTCCTCCCCCTCCCCCGGCCAACTGTGCATTTCTCAGATTCAGCAGAGGAGCACAGTTGAATCCTTGTGGACAAGGACTGGTCTGCCCTCCTGCCTAGGCTTCCAAAGTCACTGTCAGATTTCTGGCACTAGTAAATGGGGAAAGTAAGGACATATGGGGGAACCACAGAGAGCACAGATTGGTTCTCTAGAAGCTTCACTACCAGCCATTTATCCTGACCAACTGGAGCCCAATTGGTTTAGATTTCCTTTAAGATGTCCGTGAGCTTTAGAGTTGGGAAGAACCAATTTATCCAGACCAATTCAACCTCTTTTTTTTTTTTGAAGAAACTAAAGGCCAGAGAGCTTAAGTTAACTTGACCAAGGCCACACAGTGAGTAAATAAATAGCAGAGCCCAGATTTAAACCTCAGTCACCTGATTCCAAATTCAGTGTTCTTTTCATTTATATGTATTCAGACACAGACGCATAGAAGCTAACGTTTTATTCAGAAAGTTGTTTTCAAGTCTAATGCGTATACAACTTAGGTGTGAATTTTTGAGTCCAAATTTTCAAAAATTGAATCAAAAAGCCCTTTGGAAATACTCAAAAGCATTGGGAAATACTCAGATGTTGGCACTGGGACCTCACTGATTTGGTTGTTTCCTTCAAATGTACACATGGCAAATCCACCCTTTCCTGACCATCCTGAGTGACTCTTTGTACCTGTAAGGAAGCCCACCCTTCGTGGTGTAGAGGAGAAGGAGGCTTCCTCAATTTCTCCTCACAGTGCTTAATGGTGCCTAGCACATAGTAAGTATTTAATAAATGTCTATTGACTGACAACATTGTAAAGGAAAGTGTACATTTATTAACTTTTTGAGAATATAATCCCCAAATTTTTAAACCAAGCTCTTTGTTCACCATTTTCCTTCATTTCCCCTCCCTACCTCAATTTTTCTCTCCTACCCCTTTACTCATCATTAATTTGGCACCTACTATGTACTCTGAACTAATGTCAAGTGCCAAGGGAGAGGTAAAAGAAATCTTTCCTTCATCCATTTGAGTCTGAATAGCTTTGCGTACAACCCTAGGTACCTTGCCCCTTCCCGTTGTATCAGTTAAAGGAGAAATCCATCACAAATGTGTTGTCTCACTTTTGTGTTTCCCCCCCAACAGAGTAAAAATCAGCTTCATCGAAGGGGTGAATACAATGTTTACAGCACATTCCAGAGCCATGAGCCCGAGTTCGATTACCTGAAGAGTTTGGAGATTGAAGAAAAGATTAATAAGATCAGATGGCTTCCACAGCAGAATGCAGCCTACTTTCTCCTTTCTACTAATGGTATGCAATCATCATATCTAATACAGATGTAACACTTTAAGGCTAACAAAGTACTTTCCCCCCAACAGCCCTGTGAGGTCGGTAGTTATACTGCCTACATAATGCTTATAGCATTATGACCCCATTTTGGAGGTGAGAAAACTGAGGTTCTAAAAAGTTACAGGACTCCTATTGTTACATAGCTAGACTATATTGGAGCTTGGGATTTCCAGGTTTCTGACTCCAAGGCCAGTACTCTTTCCACTTTTTACACTGCAGGTAGCCTCAGAGACTCAGATTATTTGGTTAATAAAAGATGTATAGACCCAATAATTCAAGCCAAGCTATATGTACTTGAAGACCTGTCTAAATTAATAACTTATATTGATCAACTCATCCAAGGATAATATCCAGATTTCCTCTCCCACTCACTGCTTCTCAGCGTGCTATATAGACAAAGACTTTTTGAATGGAACTCTGAGAATTGGCTCCAGGAAGACTAGGCATTTCTGAGACAAACACATCATACCCTAGTATGTTAAAATGGGTGAATGTCTCTTCTGAGAAGCAGAGGTCATCTTCATATTGTTTTTGCCTGTTTTGATGAGGAACCTCACAACAGACAGTGATCCACCCCAAAGAGATAAAATTCTTTATCTTCACCTTCTCCTCTACACCTTTTCTTCCAATGATTCTTTCAAGGGAAGTTGATATCATTTATTCCAATGGAACGAATGCGTGGAAACCTGTGTGTTTGTAGAACTGAGGCAAATCAATGAGGCATGCTTATTGAGCGCGTGCCCCTAGCAGAGTGAGGTATACCAACTGTTATTCCCTGTGGGAAACCCACTGTCCAGGAGTGCATACAGTCTAGGTGTAGAAGCAGCATATACATGCATGAGATAATTAGAGAACAAAATGATATGGAATACAAGTCCAATTATGTAGCACGAGGGGCTAGAAATAACACAGCATACGAAACTAAAGCTTCCCTAAGAAAACAAATTAACCCTACAACTGTCAGTTGGGTGCGGTATGTAAGCACGGTTTCTGTTGGATCTATTTTTAATGTGTCAGTGAATGTCTGTATTTATCAAATTCCTCTTTTATCCTTTCTAGTCTCAATCCTTAAGAACAACCAAGTGCCATATGGATTTTTAAAAACCCACCAATAAGAAACTGGAACACCAAGCTCCTAGGGAGCAAATCTAGGACCAGCAAATAGGCTCAAAAATATAACTGCCTTGGGAAAACTGCACATGCATGTGTGTGTTGTGTATGTATCCAAATATATAATACATACATATGCACATGTAATTTATGTTTAGGTATATTCTGTACATACATGTATATATACATATCACATTGTGATGGGCACAAGAAGGCTACAACACATTTCAATGAAACTGGACATTCTATTGTCGTACAAAGTAGGAAAAAAGTGGACCAGGCATTTGAGGAGAGTGGGGCCTAAAAGACAGGCTCATACCCTTGAGATGTAAAAAAAGACTTACAAGGAGGTTTCTAGCACTTTAGGTGGACCATCTATGGGCTAATTCTTGGAGAACGTGGATTAGAATCTTAAAAGATAAGAAGGAACAGACTGGTTGATTGCTATCCTATTGAAGAGAATATTTAACATTGGTGGTGACGTGTGTGTGTGTGTGTGTGTGTGTGTGTGTGTATGTGTACATGTGTACAACACAAATATAATTAGTCTTATCTGCTGTTCCTGATCCTGGGTAATTTAATTCTTCCCTTTGACTCCATTGGTTGCTCTGCTTACCTTTTGGGATTCTGTTTTCTTGGAGGTAAAACTGCAGCTGATTTGTTTTTATTCGATGGCTCTTCAGAGTAGTGGCTGAGCATTCTAGTATAAGAGATCTTGGAATGTGAGTCTGGTACTCAGGATCAATGAAACTTTAGATGAATGTGACTTAATTACTTTAGGAAGAGAAAAATAGCAAATTATCTCCTGTAACCAACTTACTTTGCATTATGGAATTTATTCTATTGATCATTGTAATAAAATTCAAAGACATTAACCTCATTTGGTGGGGGAGGGGAAAAATCAGTGAAATGCAATGAAGATTAATTATATAGCATAATGTTCTGTTAATTGAGTTTTTAAATAGTTTTTTGATTAACAGGGATATTATCTTCCCATTTGGGATATAATTTCACATGCTGACAGCATCTCAGAATGATTCTTATAAAAAAAAATTCCCATGTTGTTACATAATTTTCCTTTTTTTCTACAAATAGGGAAAATGGAAGCCCCCTTAAGCCATATGGGTTAACACATACCAAAAAATTAATGAAAGTCAATTGGAATTACAGCATAGAAGAGAAAATTAAGATAAATGATAAGATTGTGCTTAAAAGCTGTCAGAAGTGATGATAAAATACTCAGAGAATCTGCCAGGATAAAGAAAACATCATTATTCAGAATAAAGACCACCTATTCCTGTGATTCTTTTGCACACAAAGATTCAGGACATTGAGGAAAGAAAGGCTTAATGATGAAGTCAACGATGGCTCCAGGCGAGACAGCCACTGAGAATTTAGATTAAATTCACCATCAATTATCTTTTTAAAAAACCGTGCCAATCTCATTATATTTATGAGTAACTTTAATAAAAATAAGTACCTAATTTTATATCCTATTGGGGTGTACTTCCGAGTTAGAAAATGTTTAATGGGCTCTTTCTTATTAAGACAGTAGCCAAGATGTGTTTATACTGGAATCTACCCATTGAATTGAATTACTTTGCTCAGTTTCTTTATTTGCACCAGCAACACTGGTGATGAGATGAAAGGTACAGCTTGAAACTTAACAGGATCTACTGCCTGCTTAAAAGTTTGCTGATGGCTTAGCATTCTGTAAACTCCATCATCATCATCATCATTACTACTATGAATGATGATGATAATAGCTGACATTTATAAAGAACTTTAAGATTTGCTAAACACTTTCTGTGCCTTCTCATTTGATTAGATGCTTAAAGCCAGGTAAGGCTCCAGAGGTCATCTAATCTAATTTACCAATCTATGTAGGACTTCCTTTTACAACATTCCTGACAGGTAAGCATCTAGACTCTGCTTGAATACATCTAGTCACTATCCAAAGGGCAGTCTTTTCATTTTTAAGGACAGGTATGGCTTGAAAAATTATTTTCGCTTATATTGAGACAAAGCCTGTCCTTACAGTAGGGAGCAAAGCATAGTGGATAGAGAACCAGAGTTGGAGCTAGGAAAACCTGAGTTCAAATCCTGCCTCACACACTTAATGGCTACATGTCCCTGGGCCAGGCACTTAACTTCTTTTAGCCTCAGGTTTCTCAGTACTTATTTCACGGGGTTGTTGGAAGAATCAAATAAGATAATATAGGTAAATGCCTTGGAAGCCATAAAGTGCTATTTAAATATTAACTATTATTATTATTATGTGACTTCTCCCACTTCATCCTAATTTGCCCTCTTAGATTACATAGAGTAGGACAAACAGTTAGCCTCAGAGCAAATAAGACCTGCATTTAGGTCCCACTTCTAATACATAGCTGGCATCTATATGACTTTACATATGTTAGCTTATTTGGTCCTCACAAAAACCCTGGGAGGTAGATATATTGTTACCCTCATTTTCCAGATGAGGAAATTGGGGCAGACAGATGCTAAGTAACTTGCCCTGGGTCACATAGCCAGCAAGTTTCTGAGGCAGGATTTGAACTCAGGTCTTCCTAATTCCAAGTCCAACACATTGTCCATTGTACCACTTACCTGGGCAAATCACTTAACCTCCTAGTGCTTTAGGCCGGAGGTTTCAAATTCAGGATCCTTTGGCCACATGCAACTTGCAACAACACTCTGAGGGGGCCAAACCAGATTAAAATGTAATTGGGAAATATTTAACAAGATAAATAAAAATACAATAAAGTATAGTTTATATGTGTGATTTTCTAAGCCAACATTGAGACCCTCAAAGATCCTTGTTGTTCAGTTGTCACATCCAACTCTTCATGACCCTATTTGGGGATTTCTTGGCAGAGATGCTAAAGCAGTTTGCCATTTCCTTCTCCAGCTCATTTTTACAGATGAGGAAACTGAGGCAAACAGGATTAAGTGTCTTGCCCAGGGTCACACAGCTAGTAAGTGAGTCCAGATTTGAACACAGGAAAAAGAATCTTCCTGACTCCAGACCCAACATTCTATCCACTGCACCACCTAGCTGCCCTAGAGAGGATCTAGGACCTCCTTTATTCTGAATGCCATAGTCCTATTAATATGGCCTTCAAAATTAACTGATACTGAATCTTTTTTTTATCCTATGGGTAGGACTTTAAATTTATTCCTGTTAAATTTTGTCATCTGAGTTTCAATCCATCATTCCAACCTTCTGAGGTATTTTCAGATTCCCACTTCTGTCCTCTAGTAAAGCAGCTATCACTTCTAGCTGGGTGGCATCTGAAGGTTGACTTGAAGTCACTACTTAAAACCTGAGACAAGGTGAATCTGAAGCCTGATACAATTCCAGATAGAGTCAGTGACTTATACACTTACAACATGTCAGACACTGTGCTAAATATTGGGGATACAAGGCAAAAACATAGTCCCTGCCCACAAAGAGCTTACATTCTTGTGGAGGAGGCAACACAAAAATAACTCTGTTCATTAAAAATATAAACAAAGTAGATGGAAGGCGATCTCAGAGGAAATGCAATAGAAGTGTGAGAGACTGGGAATTTAGGTGGGACATGGTCTCTGGCCTCAAGTAGCTTAAGTCTTTTAAGGTTTTTATCAACAGATTGCTGTAATATACAAAATAACATGGTAATCACCTTAAAATAGTATAGCCTAGTAACTTGAGGCCTGGCCTCAGACTAAGAAATACCTAGGACCAAGTTTCCGCTAATCTTGTGATTAAAGGCAAACCACTCAACCTCTCAGTGCCCTCAGCCAAATCTTCAAAACTTTAAGTTGAAGAATAGTTGCTGATCTTCACTGGTAGAGAGATTTTCCTCACTGGAAGTTCCCTATACAGATGAAATCATAGGTTGAGACACCCCAAAAAATAGTATGTGAGGATTACAAAATGAAATATTAAGAAGTCTGAGTGGGAACGTGATTGTCAGCTGTATTATGGAAGGCTCCTGGGAGAAGGGGCTGTTTGAAGTAGATTCTAAGAGAATAAGTATCCACACCCAGAGAAATATGGAGTCTGAATGCAGATGGAAGCATACTATTTGCTCTCCTTTTCCTTTGATGTTTTGTTTTATTGCTTCATTCCTGTTGTCCCTCCCATTAGTTCTCATGTTCTTTACATCATGACTAATGGGAAAATATGCTTAACATGAATGTATATGTAAAGCCTATATAAGATTGTGCACTGTCAGAGGAGGAGAAGAAGTGGGAGGAGGAGAAAATTTAAAACTCAAAATCTTATGGAAGTGAATGTTGAAAACTAAAAATAAATAAATTAACTCTTTAAAAAAGAAACAAAAAGAATAGGTAGAAATTCAACAGGCAGAGGGAGGGAGGGAGAAATGATGTTCCAAGCATCTACGAACAGTATGAAGAAAGGTATAGGCTTGGGAAAGAACAGTGCACATCGTGGAGGTCACAGAGTAATTAAGTTTGGCTTGAGTAAAGGCTGGATGGAGATAAAGTTGGAAAGACAGGGTAGTGCCAGGTTTTGGAGGGCCTCAGATGACAAGATGAGGAGTTTGAACTTTATTTGTTAGATAATAAGGAGCCATTCTTGGTTTTTAAGCAGATTAGTGATGAGCCGCTATCTACACATAAGGAAAAGGAAGGAAATAAGCATTTATTAAGCTCCTACTATGTATCAGGCACTATGCTTAGTGCTTTACAAATATTATCTCATTTGATCTTCACCACAACTCTGAGATATAGGTGTTATTATTATCCTCATTTTACAGATAGGAAAACTGAGGCAGATCTCTGTCAAGTGACTTGTCCAGGGTCACACAGCTAGGAAGTATCTGAGGTTGGATTTGAACTTGAATCTTCTTGACTTCAAAGCCAAGGCTTTATCTACTGTATCACCTAGCTGCCCCAAGGGGAAAAAAAAAACTTTTTTCTGGCAGCTATACAAGGATAAATTGGAATGGAGAGATGGTAGCTATTTGAAGGAGAGAGAGAAGGTGAAAAGACCTGTTGGGAGGCTATTGCAAGAGTCTAGACAGAAATTGAGGACCTCTACTAGGGTGGTGACAGCAAGTGACAGATGAGGGGACAAATACAAGAGATTTGTAGTGATGGAATGAATTAGTGACTGATTGGATATGAGAGAGGAGAAAGAGAGAGGCAAGAGCCAAATGACCGCAAGATTATGAAGTCTGGAGAAAAGTGGATGGTGGTCCCGCAGATAAAAATAGTGACATTAGAAGGAGGAGCTAATTGAAGGGGGAAAATAACTTGTGAATTTGGGGGCGCATAGCCAACCCACAATTATCTGTAAGGCTATATCCTGATAATGATGATAAACTATAGACCATTCAGAGGATGGGTGCCAGAATAGTAAAGGGACTGGAAGCATTCTGGGTAAGCATTGATTGAAGGAACTGGGGTTACTTAGCCTGGAGAAGAGAAGGTTCTGGGAGACTTGACACTTGTCTTTACATTTAAAAGACTTTAGCATTTGGAAGAAGGATTAGTCTTATTCTATTTGAGCCCCAAAGGCAGAACCTGGAGTAATGGGTGCATGAGTCAGAGAGGCAAACTGAGGCTTTACATAAGGAAAAGCCTGATAACCAGTAGCTGTCCTGCAGTAAAAAGAGGTTTTTTAGGATGAAATAGGTTTCCCTTCACTGGAGGTTTTCAAGCAAAAGCAAGAAATCACTTGTCAAGTAAATGGGGGGCAGGGAGGAAATAAGGGGGAACAAGCATTTATTAAGCACCTACTATGTGCCGAGAACTTTACGAATATCTCACTTGTGGTGGGGATTCTTTTTTGAGTATGGGTGGAATAAGAAGGCTACTAAAATCCTTTCCAAGTCTGAAATTCTTTGCAACTTGACATTTCCATGAGAAATATTCCATATTATCTTCTCTCTGCATTTCTATACTCTGTCTTCCTCAGCAGTCAGTTGGTGTGTGTTCAATGAGTGAAAACCAATTTTAACACTAGCCAGGGGAAGAAAAAAAAAACCCATGGCTAGAAAAGTAATTTTGCTACAGGAAATTTATATGATGAATTCCAAGGGCAAGTATAAATAGAATTGATTTGGGGGGAATTATTATTCACTGTCAGGGGCTTATCTGTGCCATGGCACCCTTCTGTTAACGTGTACTATGGAGAGTTGACTATATAAACATGGCCTATGCCACATTTTCTTTCCCTAAAATAGCAGTTTAGTATGTGACAGGATATCCAGAGGGAATATAGAATCCGTGGGGGTTTGGCACAGACATTGGAAGTTCTAAATTAAACCTTGCAGCTGGTGCCAGCATTTCAGAACGGGAAGCTGTCTCACCTTCTGTCTCAGTACAAGCTGATGTGGGCCCCCAGGGTTGCCAGTGACTCGCTGTGGAGTGTACGAGATAGAAGCATGGAATCATACACCAGTAGGGCTGCAAGAGTCCTTAGAGTTCATCAAGGCCAATCTCCTCATTTTACAGAGGTGGGGGGAACTGAGGCATGGAGATGGAAAGAGCGTTTTTCAGATTATTCCTTCTCCCCCAGCTAGTCAGTGGCAGAAACACGACTAAAACCCAGATCCTACCCCTAGCCTTCCTTCCAAGATCATCACCACCACCCCTGCTGGTGGAACCCAGAATCTTTACTCCTATGCTTAGGGCATTTCTCCCCACACCCGTCCCAGCAGTTGTAAGTGGCTCTCCACCTTGTGAAGCAGATATCCTCATGTACCTTAAGACTTATACATTGCTAGACTTCTTCATCCACCTTGCTATGGAATCTCCAACCTTTCCATCTGCTCTGCAGCTGAATCCTCCTATATATTCCATGTCCTCCAGTTATAATGTGAGCTCCATAAGAGCATGGACAGTATTCTTTTTCCAGTTGTATACACAGTGTTGGCATACTTCCTAAATGCTTTCTCATTCATTCATCTTATTAGAAACAGGAGTCTGTATGGTGTGGTGGATAGAAAATTGAGCTTGTAGTCAATAAGTCCTGGAATCACATCTTACCTCTGACCCTTACCAGCTGTGCAACCATGCACAAATCACCCAGAGTCTCTGGGCCTCAGTTTTCCCATCCGTAAAATGAGGAATTTAGACTAGATCACCTTTAAGGTCTTTTCTAACCCTAATTCTATGCTGTGTTATCCAGTGTCTCCTGACCCACACAGCACTTCCTGATTTCCCTATCAGAGCACCAGATCCCTACGGAGAGGTTGCTAATTTACTTTCTATGGCTAAAGATATATTTCATGATGCTGCTTAAATATGTCATTTTTTAGCTGTCAAAAAGTATCCACAAAGCACACCTCTGTTTTTGGACCACTCTGCTTCTTTCATATATTCCAAGTTTGGGTTACTCAAAGGTCTTTTACACTGAACTCAATTTTTGAGATATTGGTCATTCCATTCAATACCAATTTTGTTTTCTGTTCTCTGTTTCCAATGTCTGTCACCTAGTTGATACTTAATAGATGACTAATTAACTGTTAAATTTCCTTTTGTAGATAAAACTGTGAAGCTCTGGAAAGTCAGTGAGAGAGATAAGAGACCAGAAGGCTACAATCTGAAAGATGAAGATGGCCGGCTCCGGGATCCTGCCACCATCACAACGCTACGGGTAAGAGACAAAGAGGGCCTGCATTTCTAGAAGTAAAGGAGCCTTTTCCAAAATGAAATAAATTCTTTGTCTTCTAATTTGGACAGCAGGGCTGAGAGGATGCCTCTCATCAGACTGGAGATGAGGCTATTGGCAGTTTGTTTTCTCTAGGTTATGAGAGCATTTTAATCTAACATGTGAGGAAACCCATATGGAGTTATAGCCTCCCAGATCCTCTGGTAGCAGATGTTAGACAGAGCTGAGAGCTGAATTAAAGATGTGACAAATGTGCTTGGTATTGAGACTAGGCCCAGCATCTGGGGGCTTTTAAAACAGGTGTGAAGAATGTGCTCTCAGCTCATGAGTTGTCCGGTTGAAAGCCAAATTTCTAGATTGAAGTTCTAAGGGTAGAGCCTCCCACTAAGTATTCAAGAACCTGCCCTGGCATTGGTTGGCCAACTTTGTTAGCACAAAGAGCTGGCAATAGTTCTGGCCATTGGTTCTGTCCCAGGGAGAGCAGGTCATCCTTGCTGTGGTTCATGGCCACAGACTGCTTTCCTCATCCTAATTGGTACACCAGTAAATGAATACTCATGGGTCAGACTGGATAAGACAAGCTAGATAACTAGGTACAGATCTACCTGAATGTCATGGAACTAATCCAAAGCATATGCTCTGCTGATGGAGATAGGGCAGGGATGTCAGCATCATCCTCTTTATAGATAAAAGTTGTTTTACCTACACTACATATTTGGTAGCAATGTATCACATCCCCAAAAAATCCATTGCTTGCCTGTGTTCACCTAGCATTTCTTCATGGAAAAAACCCAAGGATGAATTCAGAGTTATCTCAGTGGCTCCCTAGGGAATGTCAGAAATCACTAGAGAGCCTAGAGAGTGACATTCCCCACAGATTTAAGCCCGAATAGCTGCTGGCATCCTCACGCCCATGTGGGCAACTTGATTGATCTTGCTCATGGGATTTCTGAGCGTCTGTCACTTGACACCATCTAAGAAAACTCATGAGTTTTTCACGCTTTTGTGTTGTGTCACTCTGGGAAATTCTATCCCCAAAGGGAGACAGAGCCTCCAACAGGAGCCAGGCCTTGAGTGTCAGTCTCCAGAAGGACAGAGGCTCCTCCCATGGCCACACAACCAGACTGAAAAGGTGATTGAACTGCTAAGCACAAAAGTTATAATGGAAAGAACACTGAGGTCTCGTGGGCTTGCTTCTTGTCCAAGCCTACTCCCTTATTATGCTTAATGTGACTTTACTGGCAAGTTACTCCTCTTCCCTGGGAGTCAATCTTTGGGAAATTTTCAGCTAGATGTTCCCTCAAGGGGGCACTAAACCTCTAGTAGTGGATCTAGATTGAAACAGGAGCCTAGCTGCTTCAACACGTGTGACCTTGAGCAAGTCACTTAACATCTCTTTTCTTATTTTCCTCATCTGTATGAATGGAGGGATGGATAGATGAATAGAAGGATGGATAGATGAACGGATACAGGAGCAGGTGAAAACATATTCTAGGCACTATACCAAATGGGTCATAATAAAACATTCAAGCAACACAGTCTCTGCCCTCAAAGAGATTATTTTCTAATAGAGAAGTACAGTATATAAAAGAAAACTAGAGTTGATAAGGGTAGAGGGTTGGGAAAGACAGAGGAAGGTATGGTTTGGAAATGGCCAGGGAATGGAATGATGACTTCATTCTAGGCAAGATCAGATGAAAATTCACCTATCAGAGCCCAGGGTCTAAAGGATAGAGTTTAAATTCTGGTTGTTGGACTACATGTCTTCTAAATTCCCTTCAAGCTCTAAATTTATATTCTGTAAGGTAATAATTGTAACAATAATAATGATAATAATAGCTAGCTTTGTATTGCACTTTAAGATATGGAAGGAACTCTACAAATATTATCTAATTTGATTCTCACAACAACCCTGGGAGGTAGGAGCTATTATTATCTCCATTTTACAGATGACAAATCTGAGGCAAACAGGCTTAAGTGACTTGCCCAGGGTGATGCAGCTAGTAGATGTCTGAGGTCAGATTTGAACTCAAGTCTTTCTCACTTCATTACTTAATTGCCTCTTAGGTCAGCCCTAACTAGTGTAGTAATCTGTGATTCCATGAACATTTTTCAGTCATCTCAATACTCTTTATGGCGTGAAACAGACTTGCTATTAAGCTGCAGATCTTCCTCTCTCATTTCATCTCTCCTTTTTTGAGCATTTAGGTTTTCCACAAATCTGGTCTTTCCATTAAAACAAGCCAGGCCCTCAGCTGTCAATTTCACATTTCGATATATACTGGGTAACTCCAGCAGCCTTTCTGTTTAAATACTGAAGCATTCAGCCTTTACCTCCTATTTGAACCTAACTCCTAGAGAAGGAAAACAGACCAATGTGAAAGCTGTGGTAGGACTATGGCCTGCTCTATGGAAGAGCTGATTGAATCACAGGTCAGGCTGTAAGTGACCACAATGAGCTTAGGTGTTAGATCATGCATGGCAAGCTATCGTTTGGTGTGTATGTGTGTTTTTGTTTTGTTTTGCTCTTTGCTTTTCTCTCTATTTGATGATTACCTCTGGCTTCCTTACAGTTTCCAGTCCCACCAACAGTCTTGGGAGTCAGAACTTTTAATAATTCTCAACAGCTAATTAATCCTTATTGAGTAATGAACCTGTTGGGTTGCAGTGTTAGGAGGCACAGCTTTACAAAATAAGAATATTATTTTTTCATTTTTTAAAAAAATCATTCAAGATAGTCTTTCAAATCTAATCAATTATTACCCAGAGAGCCTCTGAGATGCATTTACCCACCAAATCCTTGGCCTAGAAGCACAATTGACATTATATGGGTAAAAATGGGGTGGTAAAGCACCACGATCGTGTTGTGATTTTGAATTTACAAAGTGGTCAATGCATCATTTTGACAAAACTTTGTGATTCTCTGATGCTTTATTAAGTGTCAGCTATGTCCGAGGCTACATGCTAAATTTTGAGGACATAAAAAGGATCCAAAATTGAGAAGGCTCTCGAGGAGCTCACACTTTAATAGTGGGGGGGGGGGAAGTGTTTGTTGTTGTTGAGCTGTGTCTGACTCTTCATGACCCCCTTTTGGGGTTTTCTTGGCAGACATACTGGCGTGGTTTGCCATTTCCTTCTCCAGCTCATTTTACAGTGAGGAAACTAAGGCAAACAGAGTTAAGTGACTTGCTTAGGGTCATACATCTAGTAAGTGCCTGAAGCTGGGTTTGAACTCAGGAAGATGAGTCCTAGTGATTCCAGGGCCTGAGTTCTATCGCTGCACCACCTAGCTACCCCAGGGAAAGTATAAGGACACAAATAACTAGGGAGTATTATTGCCCCTCACCCTAGCTGCTTTCAAAGTATTGAAAGTTCACACCTCCCATATAAAGGCTTTTCTGATCATTCTAGTGATTAGCTCTCACCACATCCCAAAATTTCTTTGAATATATTTTGTATTAATTCATTTATATACATCTTGCTTTCCCTCAATAAAATGTAAGTTACATGAGGGCAAGGACTTTCATTTTTTAAGTTATATCCTGAGTGCTTGGAAAATAATAGGCACTCAGTAAGGTTAGACTTTAGCTCTTCTCAGCAATACAAGGATCTAAGACAACTCCAAAAGACTCATAAAAGAAAATGTTATCCACATACAGAGAAAGAACTATGGAGTCTGAATGCAGATAGAGCATTCTATTTGCTCTTTCTCTCTCCCTCTTTTAATTTTGTTTCTTCTTTCTCATGGTTCCTCTCATTAGTTCTAATTCTTCTTTATAACCCGATGATTGTGAAAATGTGTTCAATAAGAATGTATATGTAGAGTCTATATCAGATTGCACATCCTCTTGGGAAGGGGGGAAGGGAGGGAAGCGGGGAAAATTTAAAACTCAAAAATTTAGGAGGTGAATGTTGAAAACTAAAAAGTAAATTAATTTTTAAAAATTCTCATCCGTAAGAATTCAATTATTTTACTCTTATGGATTAAAAGTTAGCTGTGAGCCTTACAAACCAATTATCGGTAGAACGTTATTCATTTTCACTATTGGAAATGGAAAACTAAAATAAATGCAAGGTAAGATGTTGAACAGTAAAAAAAAAATAAGTATAGACTTGATTTAAATTGAAATATGATCCAAAGGAAAGTGAAATAAATGCAAAGAAAATGTGTGATAGGGCAGAAATCAGATAAAGATCAATGGGTTGGTGAGTGGGTCGTCTTTGAGTCGGGCCTTAAAGAGGAGGGTTATCAGCAGATGGGGGAGGGGAGAGAAAGGAGTCTATTCTAAGTGTGAGACATGCTGTGATTCAAGGGAAAAGATGGAAGAGGGCAGGATGAGAAGTAGGAACAGAGAGTAGTTTAATTTATCTGGAATGTGGACTGCATCCAAGAAAGTAGTATGAGATAAGACTGGACCTACAGATTGTAGCCAGATTGTGGAGGACCTTGAATCTGGCATCAGATTCAGGAACTCATACCTTATTCGTTAGGCAATGGGAAGCCAGTGAGTGAGCTTTTGTGAGCAGAGGAGAGATATGACCTAGGAATATGTTATGAAGATTGTTTAGGTAGTCATCCAGAGGAAGACTTGGAAAGAGGAGAGATTGGAGGCAGGTGGATGCTAGGTTAGAAGAGATGAAGGCTTGATTTTCATTTTTTCTCCATAATAGCTCTGTGAAACAGGCAGGATATATATTGCCTTCTTTTGACCATTGCAGACACTGAGGCTTAGAGAGTCTAAGAGGACAAAGCTAATTAGTAGGAAAACAGGAATTAGAACCTAGGTCTCCCAATCCCCAGATTGAGATTCTTTCCCTTAGTCGTGGCTATGGGGATAGGGATTGATATCTTAATTATTAACTGGCTACCTCAGGGTTGTTGTTGAGGTTTTTTTTTTCTTTTCTTCTTGTGTCTCTGATGTTGTGGGTAGACCTAGTATAGAAAAGGAAGTTCTAGCGCAAATGGGATGGTAGGGTCCTTTCAT